TTTTGAGTTGTGGTGCTGACGAAGAATGCTGAAAGTACCATGGACTGCTAAAAGAACTAACAGATCTGTCCTGGAGGAAGTGCACCCGAAATGCTCCTTGGAAATGAGAATGGCCAGACTTCATCTCACCTATTTTGGTCATGTTGTCAGAAAGGACCATTCCCTGGAGAAGGATGCCATGCTTGGTAGGGTGGAGGGTCGACGAAAGAGGGGGAGGGTGACAGGGTGGCTGCAATGATGGGCTCAGGTATAGCAGGGATTGTGGAGCTGGTGCGGGATCAGGCAGTGTTTTGTTTTTCTGTGCGTGGGGTCGCTATGAGTCGGAAATGACTCAACGACACCTAACAACAGCAACAACAGGATTTCATTTTACAAAAATCCATAATCAACACACATGGAAGCAGTAGTCAAGAAATCAAATAAATGCCCTATTGCATTGGTCAAATCTGCTGCAAAAAATTTCTTTGAGATATTACAAAGGAAAGGTGCCACTTTAAAGAATATGGGGTGCCTGACCCAAGCTGTGGTATTTTTGGTCGCTTCATATGCATGTGTAAGCTATATAATGAATAAGGAAGTTTGAAGAAGAATTGATGTATTTGAGTTATGGGCTGCCAGAAGAAGAAATAAATCTGTTTTGGAAGAAGTACAGTAAGAGTACTCCTTAGACGTGAAGATTGAAAGAATTCATCTCATGTATTATGGATATGTTATCAGGAGGGACCAGTTCCTGGATAAGGATATCATGCTTGGTAAAGTTGACAGTGAGTGAGAAAAGGAAACCCTGAATTAAATGGATTGACATAGTGGGTGCAACAATAACATCAAACATGGCAATGATTGTAAGGAAGGTGCAATACTGGGCAGTGTTTCATTCTGTTGTACACAAGGTTGCTATGTGTCAAAACCCACTTGACAATACCTAACAATAACAACACAAGGATTTTCCATATAAACAATCATCTTTATAGTCCTGTATCATTAAAATGTCTAATCAATTCTTCCTGAGAGCCATAAAGTTAACCTTCAAACTGAAAAATACATTCAAATTTGTTTTGAATGAGGTGTGTGGAGGTTTCATGAAATCATTTCTCAATGGCCTACAGGATCAATTGTGTACAAAATGAAAAAATAGGAGTATTATTGCTTTAGTTATGATGACTCATTGGTAGGTTGATTCCTTTCTTCCTTCCTTATTCATTTATCATCCCATTCTTTCAATAAATCCATACTAAATGCCAATTATATACCAAACTCTTGGTTAAGGTTCCATGTGAAAGGTGCAAATAAATGAGTAAATAAATCATTGTGCTATTAGTATTATTTATAATGTGATAATAGATTTAATTTGTTAACACATAACATTAAATGACCACTATGAACATTGGTGATTCAGTGGTAGGAATCTCACCTTCCATGAGGAGACTTGGGGTTGATTTCTCACCAAGGTACTGTATGCAGAGACACCACCCATCTGTCCAAGGACGTTTGTTTGGTAGTATGAAACTGAACAGGTTTCAACAGAACTTCATTCTAAAATGGACTAAGAAGAAAGTCCTAGAAATCTATTTCCAAAAATTACCTGATGAAATCTCCATGAATCACAACAGCCCAATATGTTACTGATCATGAGGATGGAATATAACTGAGAAGTGTTTCTTCAGTTGTCCTTGGGGTTCCATGAGTTAGAACCAACTCAACAGCAACTGATAACAGCAGTATCTACATGCAAAGTGAAAATCAGGGAACTCCATATGAGCTTGGAAAGTCAGGACATCTATGTAACCTGGAGAGACATAGCTGTTGTCAAGACCAGTGTCTTGCCTGTGGTCCAACCCTGTTCCACATGTTGACAACATTGATGGAGGCTTAGAATAGGTACATAACACATTTAGGGAAGGTAAATAAGGGGTGGGACATATACTAGTAGTTAATTCAGTGACTGTCAGATTCAAGATTCTATAAACTCTGGGAATATTCTCTATTACTTCAGGGAATTGAAATGAATTATTGTAATTAGTAACTCATTTTCCAGGAATAGAAAAGGATTATTATAATTAGTAACTTGTTTTTCAAGGTTTTCACACACCTGAGAGTGAGATATTCTAAATTATTTTCTCTATCAAGATACAATTATTGCAGGGTACCTTAGGGACTGGAGAATGGGGAATAATTGAATAATCTCCCCCTCCCTTTAAAAGGTTTCCTTTTTTATAGAATAAGCGTAATACATAGTAAATTAAGGCTTTGTACAGGTGGTACATTATAAAGGAATGGATGAGTTGCTAGTCTTCTACTTCAGACAAATCTGGTTGGAAATTCTGGCTACACTACTTTCTAAGGTTGTGACCTTGGACAATCTACATCTCTAAACTTCAATTTCCCAGTCTATGAAAGGAAGTTATACCTCTCCTTCAGGGTTTTTGTGAGCAGTACATGGGAAAAAAAAAAAAAAAAAAAAACCATGAAAACTCATAATACATTACCTGGCTCAGGGAACGTAGTTAATAAATGAATCCAGGTAATGTAAAGAGTTCATTCTTAAGTTCTCTTGCTAATGTAATCTGTTTCTCTCTCTTTCCTATCATTTTAGACAACTGTGATGACCCAATGGCATCCCTGCTGTCTCCAATGGCTTTTTCCAGTTCTTCAGACCTTACTGGTACTCATACCCTGGCTCAGCTCAACCAAAGAATTGGTAAGTAGGGTGATTGAAACCCTAATTGCAAGTGCCATATTAGCATCTAGGAGGATACTGAAGTAGGCAAACAATTTCATATACTGGGAGCAGGTCTAAAAGCAGTGGCTAAAAAAATATTGGGAAGTGTGGGGGTAAATTTTAGTTTAACTATATTTCCAAGGAGTATTCCAACCACAATTCTTCCAGGATATATTTGTTTGTTCTTCTGGTATGGTATTTTCAGTGTTTATCACTAACACAATTATGAAAAGGTGTCAACTTTTCTTCAGTCTTCCTTATTCATTGTCCAGCTTTCACATGCATATGAGGCGATTGAAAATAACATGGCTTGAGGTGGGCACATCTTAGTCTTCAAAGTGACACCTTTCCTTCTTATCACTTTAAAGAGGTCTTTTGCAGCAGATTGGCCCAGTGCAATACAACATCTGATACTTTGACAGCTGCTTCTATTGATGTTGATTATGGATCCAAGTAAAATGAAATCCCTTACTTCAATCTTTTCTCCATTTATTCTGATGATGCTTATTGATCCAGTTGTGAGAATTTTTGTTTTCTTTATGTTAAGGCGCAACCCATACTGCAGACTGTAGTCTTTAATCTTCATTAGTAAGTGCTTCAAATCATCGTCACTTTCAGGAAGGAAAGCTCTGTCATCTGGATATCATAGGTTGTTAATGAGTTTTCCTCCAATCCTGATCCCACATTCTTCATATAGTCTGGCTTCTCGGATTATTTGCTCAGAATACTGATTGAATAAGTAGGGTGAAAGAATACAACTGTGACTCACACCCTTTCTGATTTTAAACCATGCACTATTCCCTTGTTCTGTTGGAAAGATAGCTTTCTGGTTTATGTACAAGTTCCTCATGTGCTCAACTAAGTGCTCCAGAATTTCTTTCTGGAATTTTGCCCATGTTGTTGTTGTTGTTGTTAGGTGCTGTGGAGTCATTTCCAACTCATAGCGACCCCATGCACAGCAGAATGAAACACTGTCCCATCCCACGCCAGCTCCATGATCCCTGCTATACTTGAGGCCATCATCGCAGCCACCCTGTCAATCCATCTCGTTGAAGGCCCCCCCTCTTTTGTTGACCCTCCACTCTACCAAGCATGACATCCTTCTCCAGGCAATGGTCCCTTCTGACAACATGACCAAAATAGGTGAGACGAAGTCTGGCCATTCTCACTTCCACGGAGCATTTCGGATGCACTTCCTCCAGGACAGATCTGTTAGTTCTTCTAGCAGTCCATGGTACTCTCAGCATTCTTCGTCAGCACCACAACTCAAAAGCATCAACTCTTCTTCGGTCTTTCTTATTCATTGTCCAGCTATCACATGCATATAGGGCAATTGGAAATATGGCTTGTGCCAGGCGCACCTTAGTCCTCAAGGAGAAATCCTTGCTCCTCAGCTTGAAACAATTCCTTCATGGTTGACTTTCCCAATGCTACACGTCGTCTAATGTCCTTACTGCTGCTTCCATTGGCATCTACTGTAGAACAAAACAACATGAATTCTCTGACAACCTCAATCTTCCCTCCATTTATTGTGATGCTGCTCATTGGTCCAGTTGTGAGGATTTTTGTTTTCTTTATATTGAGACTTACCACATACTGCAGACTGTATTCTTCAACCTTCATCAGTAAGTGCCTCAAGTCATCCTCACTTTCAGCAAGCAAAGTTGTATCGTCTGCATATCTCAG